AAGAAATACATTTGAAAACTTTGGAATACAGAAAATCGAGAAGTTTTTCATCTAAGCCTTGGATATCCCTTCGAATATTACGCAATCATTATAGATGTTTTGAATGCAAGACACATCCCTACTAACTGACAACAAAGCTCATCAGTTTTCTATTTGTTTTGTCAGACTATTAGCTATGGAGCGTGCTAAAAGGTCTGGGAAGACATTCATCTAAACACAAACCAACCTGGGGTTTTTGAGAGTACGAATACAAGAATTACTTACTCTTTCTGGTTTAATTCTTTCTAAATTGCCTTGCATTTTTATGAGTTTGAAATTAGCAGTAAGTGTGATAGCTGCTTTACCGTACATATTTCCCTTTAGAGAACACTTGTTTTCTAAATTTGCAAGTTTTCTTTTCTGGATGCTGCAGGTGCTTCCCTTTTTTCTTCCTGTCTAACTATTTATCGTTCGTTTCCAAAATAACACCCAATTTGAGTGCTGTTCTGGTGCCCATCTCCAACAAAATAATAATGCTCATCAACATATCCCTTGTAATACGAACCAGTAATAGGGCTCGAATTTCGTTCACCAGCCGTTGCCGCGTCATCTTCGGATTCGGAATCGACTATTGGAGCTCGAGGTGTGGAAGAGATACGCAGTGATGAGAGATCTGGACAGGAACCTGTAAAATATGAACTTCAAAAAAAGGAAAGAGGATGAGAAGGAAAAGAGAGTCGATCATAACCTAAATTTTTCTCTAATCTTAATTTTTAGAAAAGATTTGAAATTCCAGGTTTTATGTAGTTTTCAAATCTACTCTTTACTCCCTACTTATTAACTGCATTACAATTTTTTATGAATTATATTCATGTGCTCTTCAACCTCAGACACTCCTTCTTAGAAAGGGGCATGATGGAACCTAGCTTTAAGTACTTCTGATCCTAGGATTATGTCTAATAGCCCAGTGCACAGTCAGCGAAAATCTCCCGTTTTTGAGTGTTTTCGAATCCCTTTCTGAATATGGCTTAAACCTCGCCAAAATCCTATGTCCGAATTTTGCCCTTTCACCGACTTACACTCATTTCATATTCAAGCACTTAACACACCTAAATAAACACATTTTCATACGCTCAGTAGAAGTCCCTCCTTATAATTTAAGACTAGAGGAACTAAGGAAGAAACAGAAATTTATAGCACACTTTCATGTCTAATGATCATTAACCACTAAAATTGGCTTTAGATGGGTCATTCGCATGATAATTGATAGTTTGCGAATCATATTTTGTACTGGGCTGACGTAAGCTACGAATTTTCATTAAGCAGATATTTGTAGAAGGCGAGCATTGGTCATGTGCAAAGCAATTCAAAACTAGCATGAACTAGATATTCCAAAAAAAATAGATTTTTAAAAATAGAATATCTATGAGAAATCGTTCTATGGGATTGTTAGGTTTTTTTTTCCTTATGCAACAAAGCAACAGTCCTAATGGAGTCACAAGACACCTGACAGAGCTATTTTTGAAATTGAAAGATTTTCTTTCGAACAATTTATTGTTTGCTCAGCACATGTTCTTAAGATTATTTCAGCTTCACAATAAACACAAATCCAAATAGACACCTGAAGTATTTGGACTAAGAATTTGCTATAAAAACGGTACTTTAGAATGGCGCTCGTCGCGCATTGCCTTATGAAAATGCGGTACCAGTAATTTCAGTGAGATTTCTGGCGTATGAGACCCAACCCTTGACGCGCAAGGCTTAGGAAGCATTATGGATAAAAAACTTCAAAAACCCATAAGTGAACAGAACAGATGAGTGCACCGCTATCGCCAGCGATATTCTGCTTTATCAACCTCTTTGTGGGTTTATGAAGGATGTCTCAGGTTAGTTAAAGTTCAACATCTTAGTGCACGATGGAAGGCTTTATACACGAATCCAATTTTGTATGGCAAAATGCTTTAATCAACGGCGCAGAAGTAAGAGTAGGATTTAAATTAGTTGCTCTTGATGACGGCAAGCCAAACGTAGGTCGGTAAATGCTTCTGTCAAACTTGTTGGTAGGCTAAATTAAGGTATGGTCATGTGTCCATGCCAAGACTAAAGTCGTTCACGGAAAACGCAAAGCTTTTGTAAAATTAACAAAGTCGTAGGTGCAAAATTGAAATACCAACTCATTAGTAAATTATCCTAACATTTCATTCTTGAGTGATTAAAAGTCAATTTTATTTAATTGGTAGGTAAGTATAGTAAATAAAAGTTTTCAGATCCGGTAGGTCTATGAACTACTAAACTAAAATTTTTAGAAGAATTGCTTTTATGTATTTTACAATGCTCAGGTCTAGTTGAACATATGTCTGGCACATTCACGATAACTATGTGCGGCACTTGGAGATTTCATTTCCTAGTACCTTCTCTAATTCTAGACTTTTATGCTTGTTTTTTTCTCTAAGCTTATCTATAAAGGAAGCTCTTTTCTACACTAATCCTAATAATATATATCTTCCTAGGGATTATAAAAAGTTCACTAGACAATCAAAGAACACATGCTGTCGTGAGGCATCAATAGGTTTTTTTACTGGCGCGGTCATATACATTAACAATCATTTATATAGGCCCTTGTATATTAGCCGCTTTGAAAATTATTTTAAGTTAAAAAATTTATGCTGTATACTACCGTATTCTCCTAATCAATAGCAGGAAAATTTTCGTAATTACACAAAAGCAAAACCTACAGGTGCGAATTCTTCTATAGGGCTTGACGGGCTCGTCATTCTCATCGTTCGGTCTTTCAATGATTGCCACGGTCTCTCCAATCACTCTATCATTATCCAAATGAGCTTGGCTGCCACGTCCACTATCATTTGTAGTCGACGGGGATTTTCGAGAGCGACCTGGAATAAAAGTCTGAAATTCTCCAGCTACATT